CTTGAATCTTCTGCAGTTTGTGCTATAAAGGTTGCTGCTATGTTACTTGGTATGAATTTATAACTCCGAATGTTCCTTGTGAACTCTGGCCTTCAGCATAAATCAATTCTTCCTTGTCTTATTTTATGCTTTTCAGCCTGCATTTTACTTTGTATTATATCAAGATCAAAACAGATGCTTTTTGTTGTGAGTTTGCATTTGCTTTGTATGCTTTTGCCCATCCTATATTTTTCACTTTTTAAAAATGCTCTGTGTTAGCAAAAACTCTTGCATTCAGCATAGAGTTGGGTTTTGCAGATTACATGTTTCTGACTGGTACACTATACTCTTCCCACACATAATTAGAGTTTCATAAAGTATTTATTTCCTTTTTCTTTTCTTTTCGTCCTCAACTAGGAGAAAGCCTCACCTAGGCTCCTAATCTTGCTAGCAGCGTTTTTGACCTATCTGGACCTGAAGTTCCCTCTGAACCGTCTGGCTTAGCAGAATTCTCATTTTCAGTTGTGCCCACTTGTTCTCACACCTGACATGAGAGGCCCTACGTGTCCTCATCAATGGTGAACTGGAAGAGCATCCATATAAAAATTTAAAAACGCATTCTTTTCTGCTGGCTTGACACACAGACCGAGGTTTCCAATATTTGGATTAATGCCTGATGTCTCCCAAAATATTCTTTAAAATATAATTAAATGACCCGGGAATAACGTTATATCACTTAAGGCCACTGCTGGAAGAAACCCTAGAAATCAACTACTCGAACTTTCTCCGTTTCTATGACACCCCAGTAAGTTCTCTAGTCTCGTTTGCATTTTGCTGGAAATGGTTAACTGACGCTGTCACCCATTCTGTAGGCATCGGTTTGAAGCCCAGCTATACCATATAATAGCTATATGACAATGGGAACTTATATAAGCAATCTTAGCCTCAAGTTTTTATCTGTAGCGTGGAGACAATTATAGAAACTCAGAGGGCTGTCAAGAGGACTAAGCAGGGTTACAAATTCAAAGATCAGACATGTAATGTGAACAGCCAGGCTGGTAGTTAATTGAGTCTCCTAGTGTAAGGTAGTAGGAGTGATGAGGAGAGTTCATTCTCTTGTCAAAGGAGAAACCTCTGCTGGGCTCCCATATATTGGAGCCCTGCTTGCATCATTGTGAGCCCAATAATATTATTAGTTCTTCCAATTTTTCTAAAAAAGCAAAACCTGGATAATTTGAAATTTATCAATTATTCACTATGGCAACTTTCCTTAAAACACTTGCTAGACCATTAAAACTGCATATCTCTGGGCTGGGTATACCTGTAACCTGCTGCTTTGCAGTCTCTAGCATAATGCCTAGCATAGGAAAGGCACTCAATAAATTGTGAATTCATCACATCTGAAACCTTTCATCGTGAAAGGTTTCCCAGATTCTTGGGAAAAAGGACTTGTTTGATTGGGTGGGTGAGAGGCCAGGGAAGAAGAGACTCGGGAGTAACCAGGACATCAGCTACAGGCTCAGGAAATCAGCAGAAATCATGGGGGAATGAACCAGAACAGGGTGAGAGAGGATCAGCGATGAACTCTGCCTCCTTCCCAGGCGGCCTGCTCTGACTCCTCTTTTGCTCATACTTGCTGGCTCTCTTGTACAACTGGGCTGCTCCCTGTGTAGATATAACTGACATAGGAGCTGTGGGCAGAGCAGGGTAGTAAGACCCTGCAGCTGGCTGGAGCCAGAAGGGCCCTAGAGCTTCCAAAGAGTGAGTTTACTGGGATGAGAACAGAAAAGACATTGAGCTGGGAACCAAGGAGGCGACTTTCTCTCTGTTCCTATTCCCTTTGCCTTTTCCCCATCAGCAACTCTGAACCTAGCCAAATACTTTCTACTCGAGTGGGTTGCAGCTGTCCCACACATGTTCTAAATAAGGCCAGTAGAGCCGTTGTTATTTTTAGGACTTTAATATGGATGCAAAGGTCACCAAGATTCCCCATTTGTTGGCTCAGTTCCTCGTTGTTCTCTTTATCTCTCTTATTTTCCTCCAAGATGTATATTTTCTATTCAAATGAGTTAAAGTAAGACTTTTGGGGGAAGAGAGACCTCAAATATTTACTTCCTCTTGGCGGAACTCCTTATAATTGTCACGGGTTGGGTGATATATTTGTCCTGTGGCATGCAAAGTCATGTGCAGACTTCAGGAAACAGCACTCCAGGCTTGGACCAAAGCCACTCCTTTTTCTCTTTTGAGCATAAAAAGCAGGTTAGAGTAGAAAATATGATAGCTTTAAGGCTTCTCTCATCTAACCCTCCAAGTACATAGTTGAGGGCACTGAGGCCCAGAGAGGCTAATTTGCTTATTGCTATCTAATATCAATAAGAAATATTACTATAGCTTGTATTTCCTGTGCTAATCACTTCATATTGATTTCCCCGTTCAATCCTTACAACAAAATAAGGTATCTATTTCAATTATTCCAATGTTGCAGATGACAGAACTGAGATTCAGTAGTTTGAGAAACTTGCCCAAAGTCACATAGACTGGCAATGAGCCCAGAAAGACATTCAGGATCCTGATTCTAGTTCACCTCTTTCCAGAACCAGAGCTGAGGGTACAGATTTATACACACACACACACACACACACACACACACACACACACACAGAGTCAGCGTGGCCCTTCCATGCTTGCCTTTGGAAAGCATGGAGCGTTTCCAGAACGCAAGCACAACCTGGCAAAGTCCCCACTTAACCTCAGAGGCCAAGGAGCTGCTGAGATGGGAGGGGAGTTTCAGCCTCTTTACCTGTTCTCAGGGTCAGCCAAGGCCATACTGCGAGTGACGTAGCACATTTTGAGGGGGATGCTTTTCCGGTCTCTGTGGAAGGAGAAGGATTGCGATGACAGGGGGTCTGACGAGCTTCCCCCTAACCGAGGGGATTCAGGCGGCGGCGTTTCCCACCCGATCTCGGACACCGGGGATCCTTTCTTCACGTAGGGTGTGGCTTCTCGCATGTACTTCACTGCAAGCAAAAAGACAACAAGCGCTTTTAAGTACATCCAGAAATCTCTGGAATTTCTGGAAAGTCTAATTGTGTTTCTGAAAGAAACTTGCTTCGGATAAGCTTTTTTTTTTTTTTTTTTT